TGGAATGACCCGCAAGGGGCTCAAAAGGCCACCGATGCTATCAACAACCTTTGTTCCCGTAGGTTCAAGGATGTTAGAGAGCTTACAGACACCGTAGAACGCCTCCTCGTGGTACCTGGTGTGCGTTTTGACCCGCAGGTTCTCCTAACGGACTACCTAAGGTGCCTACCTACAGAGGTAAGGACCAAGCTGGTTGACGAGGCCTATATCAACCAGCACACTTTTGCTTCTTTTAGTAAGAGAGCACTGGACATAGAGGCAAAGCTAGGATCTGCGCATAAGGCATCCAATGATGGTAGGAAGAGACTGCCCCAAGACTGGAAGAAAAAGGGTCAGTTAATGTTCGTTGACCACGATGGTCAAACGACGGAGATTGACGACTACTCAGATCTTGGGGAGTTCACAGAGCACAATGGGGGTAGTGAGACTTCAGATGGTGGAGTCGTGGCACCCATCAAGGAAAAGGCTAGGAGGACCGGGAAGAAGAAGGTAGTACGGTCCACGGGTCAGGGAGACCAAGGAACACCCGCATGGGTGAAAATTGGTTTAGAATACGAGGTGTGGCGTGACCGCGTTGCTAGGGGTACATGCATGAACTGTGGCAACTTTGGCCACACGTCGAGGACTTGCCGCGGCAAGAAAGTCACAACGAAGGTAGCTTCACCAACGGTGGTGGGCTTATCTTCGAACCCTGGGAGTGTTTCTGCGAGCAGCTCACAGGGAAACACCTCGGGCCAGTAGGAGTGTTAGCCGCTCTTACTCGCGCTGAAGTGGTAACGTTGCCTTCCCCACTTCAGGCGTTGGCCAAGGCTAGTGACCCACGTATCGCCCCGCAGACACATTCGGACCCACCGACGCTCTGTTCGAGAGATGTGTCTGAGGCCCTAGAAGAGTTAGAGACTGAGTGGTCAGGAAAGGACCCAAGGGACTCTTGGGCGATGATGAGTGGAGGTCCAAAGGGTGAACATTTCGTGGTAGAAGTAGATGTAGGTGGCCGCAAGATTGGCGCCTTCGCAAACACAGGCTCTACACGAAATTTCATCAGTCGTGCTTGTGTGGATAGACTGCGCTTAGGGGACCAAGTGCAGCGGCTTAGCAGAACTGTAGCTTCTACGCTAGCCAACAAGCACAAGATGGTAGTAAAAGACTATGTCAAGGACGTAGCCTGTTCCTTCTCCTATGGAGGAGGGGAGGTGATCCACAAGATCTCCTTCCTGGTTAGCGACGAACTACCATTCGACATGTTACTGGGCATGTACTACCTCGAAGTCTCGCAACCACAATTTGATTGGGATAGAAAGGTGTTGATACACAAGTTGCCAAATGGTAGGACCGTTAGGCTGCAAAAGTACAAGGCTAGTAGTCTAGTGGAGAACTACGGCTGCATGTGCGCTTCGTCTTTCCATAACTACTACAAGCAGAATCGCGAGGAGGGCATGTACCTAGTGTTTGTCTCTGAAAAGGTGGAGGTCGTTAAATCACCCCCAGAGATAGAACAAGTCGTCGCTCAATATTCAGACCTTTTTTAGGAGCCCACAGGCGTGGTGGAAACGGAGATTGTCCATGCAATAGAGGTGATCCCAGGTAGTAAGGTGCCTAGAGGACGAATCTATAGGATGTCTCCTGCGGAGTTAGATGAGCTTCGCCGCCAGCTCAAGGAGTTCACAGAGAAGGGATGGATACGACCTAGTACCTCCCCTTACGGTGCGCCAGTCTTATTTGTTCCTAAGAAGGGAGGTCCATTAAGGATGTGCATTGACTATAGGGGCCTCAATGCCACGTAAAGAACGCGGAGCCCCTACCCCGCATTGACGATCTCTTGGATAGAGTGCAGGGATGTTGGTACTTCACAAAGATAGATCTGAAGTCCAGATACCATCAAATTGCCGTTAGGCCGGAGGACCAACACAAAACCGCATTTCAGACCAGGTACGGTTTGTACGAGTTTGTGGTGATGCCTTTTGGCCTATGCAATGCGCCTGGTACGTTCCAGCACGCGATGAATAGGATCTTTCATGACTACTTGGACAAGTTTATCGTCGTGTACCTCGACGATATTCTCATCTTCAGTAGGACTGTAGAGGAGCACGCTGAACACTTGAAAATAGTGCTAGGTCTCTTAAGGCAGCACCAGTACAAGGTAAACTTGGATAAATTCGAGTTTGGTCGCACCAAGATCTTGTACTTGGGTCATGAAATTTCAGCAGATGGATTGAGGCCGGAAGATGCGAAAGTGGCCAGCATACGTGACTGGCCCAGACCTCAAACTGTTACTGAGGTCAGATCGTTTTTGGGGATGATGGGCTACTATCTTCCGTTTGTGAAAAACTATAGTACTATAGCTTCCCCATTGACAGATCTAACTCGACTTGACACCCCTTGGGAGTGGATTGAGGAGTGTGAAGCAAGCTTCAAGAAATTGAAGTATGCTCTGACACACTACGAAGTTCTCAAACTTCCTGATCCTGACAAGCCGTTTGTTGTGACCACAGACGCTAGCCAATATGGCATAGGCGCGGTCCTTGCGCAACAGGAAGGGCCCAAGTTGAGACCGATCGAGTATATGAGCAAGAAGATGCCATCTCAGAAGTTGGCTAAGTCCACTTATGAAAGAGAGCTCTACGCCCTGTACCGAGCGCTAGTTCATTGGAGACATTACCTCCTAGGAAGGTTCTTTTACGTGAGATCTGACCATGAGACTTTGCGCTGGATCAAGACACAACCAGTCTTGTCAGACGCACTCAAGAGATGGATTCAAGTGATAGACATGTATGACTATCAACTTGATCCTATCAAGGGTACGCACAACAAAGTGGCTGATGCGCTATCAAGAAGGGCAGATTATATGGGCGCGCTAGTAACTGAGTTTGGCATATCTAATGACCTCACTCGATCGTTGGTGGAAGCCTATCAGGGAGACCCAGTCATGTCAGAGATCATTCGCAGGTTCAAGGCAAAGGATAAAAAGACTTTGGACGAATAAACGATGGTAGACGACTTGCTATTCCTTGATAAGGCGGGGAATAAAAGCTTGTGTGTCCCCAGTAGTGAGTCGTTGCGTAGTTTATTTTTAGGAGAATGTCACGATGCAACTGGTCATTTTGGCTATAAAAAGACAACAGCAAACTTAGTTCAGAGATTCTGGTGGCCCTCTATAATGGAAGATGCAAAACGTTATGTTGAAACCTGCCAGGTTTGCCAAAGAGACAAACCAAGGACTCAGGCTCCGCTTGGGCTCATCAAGCCCTTGCCGATTCCTGGAGGTCCTGGTCAAAGTGTGTCCATGGACTTCATGGATACCCTTGTGACCAGTAAGTCTGGAAAGAGACACATCTTCGTAATAGTGGACCGTTTTACTAAGTATGCAAGACTAATCGCTATGCCAGAAACAGCTAAAACTGACCACGTCATCAAACTGTCTATGGACAATTGGGTTCGTGATTTCGGTTTGCCTACGTCTATCGTTAGTGATAGGGATGTCAGGTTCACAAGTGAACTGTGGCAGTCAACTGCTGAGCAAATGGGCACAAAGCTCCAGATGACGTCAGGGAATCACCCTGAGTCCAATGGCTAAGCAGAACAGATGGACCGTGTAGTGCAGCACTTGCTTAGGCATTATATTAAGCCAAGCCAGGATGACTGGGACGAGAAGTTACCTCTCGTCGCCACCCTGTACAACAATGCTGTGCACAGCACCACCGGTATGACTCCCAACCAGCTACATCTTGGTTGGAAGCCCAGATCTGCGCTTGACTTTCTGTTACCAGAAAGACAACCTACTGCAGCACCTGGCAACATAGAGTTTGGTGTCAAATATGAGCAGATGCTGCAGCAGGCCGTTGAACATATTCATAAGTCTCAAGATGCGATGATTGCATCTGAGAACAAACATAGACGGCCTTCTAACTTCCAGGTAGGTGAGAGAGTCTGGGTGAAATCATCTGAAACTGGGACAAGAAATAGGAATCTCAAGAAAACTGATGCCTCAGTACTTTGGGCCTTGGGAGATCTTAGATATTGTAGGGGATCAACCGGATGGGCCTTCATACGTGATTTGCATCCCTGCTCACTTACGGACTTATCCTGTTTTCCATGCGTCAAAGCTGGCACCTTTTTCTGCCACAGACCAATTCCCCTCTCGGAGATCAATGCTGCCCCCAACCATGGATGGCGAAGTGGACATTGACCAGATCGTCAAGCATCGAATGATGCCTGTTCCTCGACCATCAGGCAGAGGGCGACCTCCTAAACCGAGAACGCAGTACCGGGTGAGCTTCAGACATCACCTCGATCCCAAGGAAGATCGCTGGTTTACACGGGAAGAACTCATGAGAACAGCGCCTCAAGTGATTGCAGGCTATGAAAGAGAACGAAAAGGGAAGATGCCTGCAGAATAAGAGACTTCTCAGAGGACTCACGAAGTTAAGGAGGAGGGAATGCGAGGATCAGTGTCCTCGGTAGGCCTACGGGGCCCTGTCTGCAGCCTTACCCGCCTTAAGTGAAGGCGGAGGTGCCCGCCCTAAGTGAAGGCGGGCCTGGCTTTTTGCAAGAGGCTCTCGACTGTCAAGTTCATATTTGGGGTCCAGGCAGTTGCGACGCGCCAGTTGGTTGAAAGAAACACAGGCCGAGTACCGAAGACATTTCCACGGCCTACCGGGCCTTTCCAAAGAATGCAGGCCCTGGGCGTGATTCGCAGCCTCATACAGAGACAGTTGGGCGCCCAACCGAACGAGGCCCAGCGGCCCAGTAGCTGCTGCATCCAGACAGCATCCTGGGGCGTTCCGGAAGCTGCTGGGCCCAGGCCAGCCCAGCCAGGCTGCGAGAGCTGGCCAGCTCTTTTCCATAAAGGAAAGAGCTCTGGCCAGGCAGCTCATTCGGTCACTTGCTGGCTGGGCGGCAGCGCTGCTGGAGCAAAAGCTCGCAGGCTGACTGCCGGCAGAGGAGCAAGGGGCAACACACGTGAGGTCGTGTAGGGGAACAGGGCGCTGCTGAGGGCAGCGCCATAGCCAGCCTCCATAGCGGGCTTGGCTTGGACAGAGTGAGGCGCAGGGGTGGTTCTTCGGGTGTCAGAGAGGACAGGTGTGGGTGAAGTCAGGGGATAGGTGAAGGATGATGATGATGATGATGATGATGTGAGGGCATGTACCTTGTATTGGCGATGGTCTGCATGGGCGGCATCTTCAAGTACTTCGGGCTGCTGCTGATGTCAACAGTTGCWTTGYCTTTTTGTAGTCTGTAGTAGCTGTGWAGAAGTAGGCTGGGYGCTGAGCGCCAAGTGTGAGTGTAAGGGAACTGGATACTTGTGTTGAAGAGGAGAGAGTGTGCTCTCCATAAACATTGGTTTTCAGTGCTACGAAACTCCATTGGTGTATTATTGGTGCAATGCTGCTATCTGGACACGGTGTGACTATTTGACTTGCAATGTGATGGTGTGATCTGGGATTGTCATGTCGCTGTTGCTTATTTTCCTTGCAATTTGGTATCGGAGCTGGTTCATATTGCGCTTCATTGGTTCTTCGCAATAGCTACTGGTGCTTCGCATGAGGTGTGGGGCAGTGATACGGCATTGGCATTGAACATTAGGCGGCCCAGGGTTGTGTGGGCGCGCCAGGGAGCTATGTGGTGACATACGGGATGTATGCTGGATGATGAGAACTTGCTGATGTGACATATTAAGCTGAGGTGGAACCGCATTCTGCTGTTGGTTGTGCCGAAGCAAAGACCGGTCATCATAATTGCACATTAGGTTACCGGTGAGAAATCTGTGGTTGGGGGCAGCGTTTATGAGGTACGTTGCTCTCTTCCTTATTTACCCTCTTCATCTCTTCTTACCGTGAGGAAGTGAGTTCTGTCTTGAGAGTCCTCTCGATGTGAGGTGTCGCGAGCGCTCAACCTTGAGAGTCGACATTCTCCCGGGGCAGCAAGCTGGTGGGAGACGGGCGAAGCCTCGAAGGGCCCTAGACGAAGCACTCGGGTCACGGTCACCATGCCAAACCGCTGGGACTAGTACACGCATGCTTGGGCCGCAAGTCCTTGTTCTGCTGCTTGCGCAAATAGGGGTCAACTCGGGCATGGCAGCCTCTATGAGACGCTCATCAGACCGTCTATAAACATTTCTGGTTGGGGACTCGGATTGAATCTGGCTGTGATTGTCGTCCTTACTGCGGCGTTAAATAATTCCTGAAGAGATGGGGGCGCTCTTAATAATCCTCCTGATCAGCCAGATCAACCGGGTGTAAGGCTCGTCGGTGTACGAGGGTAAATAAGAGTGTTGTGGCTGCCTTGCTCGACGATGACTTGAGGCACAGGGGTGGGACCGGATTGCACACCTTTAGACACGCTGCTCAACCAGATGCTCAGGGACGTTGACACAAAGTGATTACTCAAGAAGGATACAGGGGAAGGGGGGATTCCGGTAACTGTTCGCAGTGGCAATCAACAGACAATCTGCCATCAAGCATACATCTCCAACAGGAGATGTTATTCTTTGTTTTGATTATCTATTTGTTACGGACTTGCTGACATCTGACAGACAGCTACAAATAGGTTAGATCTTTGTTGTATTGCAATCTGTTCCAGGGTTATCTAAAAATAGATGTAATATATCCTGTAGGACCTGACATTAGTTGTAACTATATCACCCAACTGTTTTGTCCCATCCGACCGAAAGTAGTTGTGTTTCATAATCGGTTGTGTGTTAAGCTAAGGTAGGATTCAGTGTGGGTTCTAGTTTAGATCACACACACTGTAGCTCATGAGTGATGCAAGCACAAGTGAGGAGGAGCTACTAGTGGACAACCGTAGGACTACTCGCGGGACTGCCCGCAGTCGACCTGTGACATTCCTGGAGTTAGGTCCAGGAGACGAGAGAAGATTGAGGAGAGAGGCTAGAGAGAGGGCAGCGGCAAGGAGAGCGAGGGCAGCTGAGGACAATGCTAGAGCTAGAATTACAGCTAGCATCAGTACAACCATGGCTACCTCATCTATGACACAATCCTCTACACAGCCCACTTCGTCAGGAGTCAGTCAGAGTGGTGCTTAGGCAGCCACTAGTCAGATTGGTCATGTGCGATTCAGCCAATCTCCTATCACGCCGGAGGTCTTGGAAATCCGGCAAGCAGAAGAACTTCAGGATGATCTACAGCGGCAGATGGACGAAGTAGTAGAGAGGAGAAGGAAAGTTATGCAAAGAAAAGCTAGACTAGAGAGTAGAGCTCAGGAGCTAGGCAGACTGGAAAGACTGGATGAGTCAATATTGGATCCTGTTGTTCGTGTGTTGCGAGGAGCCTTACTTTCAGTAGCGGAAGCGCAAAGCGTCCAGCAGGAATTGTTGGCTGATTTGGTAGCAGGCCAGAAACAAATTCTGGCTGAACTTCGGGGCCCTCGCACAATGGTGAGGCAGCCGCCGTTTGCTGTAGTTCCCCTTGTAGGTGCGGGTCCATCATCGATGCCGCAACGCACAGGGCAAACTTTCTCTCCCATGTTTGCCATACCCTCCCCGGGTGGTTTAGTAGCAACTAGTGGTTTGGTTCATTCAGTCTCAGTCGTACCATCTACAACAGTGGTCACTACAGTCCCACTGTCCAGCCAGGCCCAGGCTAGTGTGCAACAACCTGTTTCAGTGGCTATGCAGCCGCTGCAGCAAGCACCTGGGCCTATGCAGCCGATGC